TTGGCATCAAATTGTTCGGCAAAATGCCTTCGGAGGCGAACGTCAATTTCTTTCCCGCCAAGAGTTCGATCGTATCCGATGGAAATTACATCTAAATTGATCACGGTCTTGTTGAAACGACCCACATCCTTTACGCTAACAGTTTTGAAGCTGATCAGGCTTGCCTTCGTGCTGCCGGCGCCCATGTCATAGAATAGATGATATTGCGGCTCATCGGTGAACGATGAAAAATGCGAAATCGCGTAATTCAAACCGACTATTACAAGACAAGATTGCGTAAGAGAATATGGAATTAACTGTTGCAAATTAGACGAAATTAGACGAAATTACTCAAAATACAAACCAGCCGTTCCCTCGTTGATCAAGGAAAGAACGTGTAAACCTGCAAGTTCAGCTGCATCCAAGACTGCTTGTCTTTCGAATTGACTGTAGTACGGAGGCACCTTTATTGAAACAAAGCTAGCTCAATAAGATGAAATCCGCGATATCATGATTCGGCAGTCTAGAGATGAAAGTACCGTTATAACTGCATCCTTGATAGCTTCCTGAGCAGTGGCCTCGGCTAATTCTTTGGCATGAGAGAGTTGCATCGCAAGAAGCTCCTCGACGGAAAAAACCGTCGTATCGTTATGTTGAAATTCAACGGTCCCCCTTTTTGGACCCGGAATTATCTTGTTCGGAAAAGTTGACTGATATTCCACCGAATACGTATCGTCGGCAAGTCGCCCGATGACCTTTTTAAGAGTGAAATAAGTGTTTTGTGGAAGCCGCGCGCCCTACGATAACAAACCAGGCATATCAATTATATTTGCCGAAAATTTCACGTGGTCTCTGACGAACAAAGTTCAAAGGTAGGTTGAAATTGATCAAGAAATAACTATACTCACAAGATTGACAGCATCCGTTCCATAAATTCTTTCTTCTCCCCGCACCGTCAGCACGGACTGTGTTTTGCGTTTCGAGTCTCTATTCAAAACGATGTCGAGAGGTATCCCTGGTTTCACCAGAGCAACTTTAAACCAATCTGTTCCATAATCAACAGCCATAACCGCCGCCTCACTTGTGGATAACGCAAAGAGCGTTACCAAAAGGAGGACGGACTGGAAGAGAAGTATTTTCGACATTTTTTATGATAGGCGGAAAAATACGAGAGAATCAACCATTTGATCCATTTTTTATATCTACGTGATCGATCGAGGCCTGTCCCACATTGAAGTGCTGTTCAACTGTGATTGGATAAGACGTAGGAAGACAAGTTTGGTGAGTTTAAATCGCGATTGCACCTCTCCGTGTTTTCCGTTACTCCGAGAGATCGCCCTTTGTTGTAACCCACCCCAAGTTTGAAGAGTCTATCACCACGTATATATAGACCTTTCTATTTCGCCACGTATCTTTTTTTTGAATAAATTATTCAAATAAAAGCTTGAAATGGACTCCTCATTTGTTCCAATGAATAGCGCAAAGTTTATAGTACCTCACGTTTTACAAGAAGATTCGTTTGACTGCGGTCTTGCGTGCGTATGCATGATCTTGAAAGCCCTAGGGTTTGTTAATTTAAACTTATGGGAAGTTCGCAATAAAGTGATAGTTTCTAGCATTTGGACAATTGACTTGGTACTTCTTGTTATCACCTTAAATTCTTTCGATCACCTGAACCCACCTCATTACGTTGTCCTCATCATTTAGGCTTTTTTGTTAAGGAACTATTTACCAGAGCTTGACTTTACCTTCTACACCGCCTATGCCGGAGCGAGAGTCCAATATAAGAATGACAAGTTTTATAGATCATGTACTTAAAAAAACGGTCTGCGTGGAAATTCGTTCATTCAACCGTAGAATCTTCACTTATTACATTATTCTGATTTTTATCGTAAAGCATTTGACGAAGATGAGAACAGAGTCAATCGATTGTTTTCAATTGCAAAAAATAGCAACATAAAAGTAATACGGATGTGCGTTTTAAAATCTCGCGGTTCGTTTTTAAACACTGAACTCGGATTAAATCCGATGAGTATAAATGAGATGATCGCTATCCAAAGAATTATGAGAAGTGGCTGACCTTGTGATTCCTGCCTTCACATAGGGTCTTACCTCTTGAAGACTTTAAACGATTCCTAAGTAATTCGAGGTTCGCGATAATAGCATTAGTAAATGCAAAATTATTGGATTGTCAAAGATGTCAAGAAGTGAGTCTTGACTTTAATAAATTTCGCGTATTCCCTATTTTTTTCCTTATTTTTCCGTCTTAACTAACCACAGCCCCTATCTTAAATCATGTATAGGCACGACGAATATGTTGTGTTCCCTTATGCAATAACATTGATTCCCTCGTCGATACACTCAGAGGTCATGATTATGTTGGTAGGTGTATTCGTGTGTCAAATTTCGTTTAAATATCAGTAGGCGGTTTATAATGCATTGCTTAATCGTAAGGCATGTAAAGGTCATTTTATAGTTCTCATCGGTTACGATTCAAATTCTGACTGTTTAATATATCGCGATCCGGGAATTGCAGAACAATATTGT